GTAAAGTTCTGCACAGTGCTCCATCATTCCATATCTACTGTTTCCTTTTCTGTTACACTCACTTGCTAGCCCAGGACTGGTTTTGACTTAGTCTTAGATGTGCTTGCTTGCTTGCTTTCTCTGACTTCTGGAAATTCAGAGAAAGGCATCTTCAGTTGCTCTGCTCTGTGTGCTTACAGCAGCTATATACTCAGACAGTGCCCAGTATGTATCTCCTGAATGAAAAAAAAAAAAATAGAACTATCGCATATTTTACAATTCTGAGCAAAATTGCTGTGGAAGCTGGGAGAGTTGGAGGATTTACAGACTTCCTTGTCTAGTAAGAGAGCACCAGAGTCCAAGGCTGTGTGCTCTGACTGCTCACCCGTTTGTCTTTCCGCAGCCACCTGATCCTCCCCATTTTCTGTATGTGAACTTGAACTGTGTTCATTCCACTTGGGACCTACTGTCTTGTGATAGTCTGGGCTTAGCTGCTTCATCTTGAGGAAGGGTGACCTCTTTGTGCTGGCCTTCCCACTGCCATGTGGGGAGCCTGATGGTGGTCAAAGTAGGCAGGGAAGGCAGGAAAGGGAGGTACTGAACGGAAGGAGCATGGCCAAGTGATTCGCTGTTTTCTGAAGTGTGCATAAATGAGTATTTGCAGGAACCTTTTAAGTGCCCCTTCTGCAGGAGGCTCATTTATGAGGCTTTAAAACCCCTCCCTTGCCTCCCTTTCTTGGCAAACCGTTGCTCATCATAAGGTCATACCAACTCCCCACCAAGTGAGTGGAAATGGTTGACTCAGTTCTGGTTTGCTTTTGTGTGCTCTGTTTCTGGTAAGCAGGGATTTTCCCCTAGTCTGTCATGTGCCTACTTGTACAGTAGTTGTCTCTTTTGAGGTCCTGTGAAAGGCGTAGCAGCCCAAGAGGGAGGAAATCTCTGAAATGACCGTTGCAGATCAGCTGACGTTATAGAGATGAGCATAGAGAGGGTACCACAAGATCTTTCTTATGCCTCTCTGGCTCACTGTAACTCAGAATAGGTGATACTGCCTTGACCTGACATATTTGAGGGAGGCAATACCCCAAATGGAGACATTTTCTGTGTCATCATCATCATCATTACTTAGAAAATGGGAAATAGGGAGGCTCCCTTCCCTGTAGCCACAGTAGGAAAGGTAGTTGCACTCAACAAGCTTCAGGATCCTTTCTCAGTCTCCGTTGTTTTGTTTTGTATCAAGTAGTCTAAAACTGCTGAATTCCCTGGGTTCTGTGGCTTGTTGAGTCAAATGTGTAACATCTGTCTTTCTGGGTGTCTTGTTTTCAGATGCGTCTGGGGTCCTTGCCTCTAACTGTAGGATCCTGTTTTCATTTCCACATTCCTCTTCTGCCCTCAACCTGATTTGAGTTTGCTCTTCTGCTCTACCTTGAGCTGGTTATCAAGCAATGTAGTACATATAAATTAACAGAGAGGCCGTAGATTTTTTTTTTAGTTAAAATGCTGTGTGATATGAGAACCTGGCCCACGGAATCCGCTAAGCAGGCCTCACAGGAGCTGATGGAGACCGAAGTGGCAAACACAGACCCTGCGTGAGTCTGAGCGAGGTCCTCTGCATATAGGTTATGGTTGCTAGCTTGCTGTTCTTGTGGGACTTCTAACAGTGGCGTGTCTTTGGCTCTTTCGTCTGTTGTTGGAACCCTTTTCCTCTTTTGGGTTGCTTCATCCAGCTTTGATATGAGGGTTTGTGCCTAGTCTTACTGTAACTTCTTATGTCGTGTTTGTTTCGTTGAAACCCTTTGAGGCCTGCTCTCTTTGGGGGGAGGGAATGGCAGAGGAGTGGATCTGGGAGAAAGGGAGGGTGGGGGTGGAAGAAGTGGAGTGAACAGAAACTGTGATTGGGATTTAATGTATGAGAGGAGAATAAAAAAGAAAAAGTACTGCGTGGTGTTTTTAGGCAGAAATAAAACTGATTCTAAAAATTCATGGATGAAAACAACAAAATGTTTTTTAATTGATTCTTATAAACGTGTATAAATTGATTCTGTGCTTGAAAAACTTTCCTATTTATAAATAGATTTCTGGAGCTGGAATTTAAGTTATTGATTCTTACTTGCTTCCTCATTTCTGGCAGTTGTCTGAAAAAGATTATCACAGATCACTTTTTTTTTCATTTTTTGAAACAGGGTTTCTCTGTGTAGCCTGGGCTATTCTGGAACTTGCTTTGTAGACCAGGCTGGCCTCAAACTCATAGAAACTCACAGTGAGCCACCAGCACCCAGTTATGATCGCTTCTTATATATAATTTCTCTATAAATGCAATAGTTCAAATTTTTGTACTGACTCCTTTTAAATTAAAGGCTACATTGTGAAGGTTTATTTCACAGAGGGATATGTATTTAAATTTTTATGAATATTTTATGTGAGCTGAAATCTTGGTCTTCAAATTATATTACCCCTGTGCTGTGCTGTCTCACCTGTGTGAAGAACACAGAGGGCACCTCTGAATTAGCAAAGAGCAGATACTAGTTAAACAGAAGGCATAATATTTTATACTTCTAGGTCATGAAATTATGCTAAAACCTTGGTATATACCTGCCACAGTTTTTCCATTATTTATCCTTGTCAGTATTAAATAATATATGGTAGCTGAGAAAATATGCCCAGGAACTTATATGAATAGCTAAGACTAATTTGGAATGAGTATATAATTATATAAAACCATACACACAGAGAATCTATATCTAGAGTAATATAATCTACTTATAAATGACTGAAAATATTTTAATAAATTATACCCCTGTAGTTTTGCATTTTCTATTTCCTAGTTAGTAGTCATAGTTTAACCTTTGACCCTGTTGCAAATGACAAAAATCATTGGATTTTTACTAAGAACAACTTTGGGCTCCCTTTGTACTCCTTACTAAGCCAATTCATGTGATTCAGATGGATCAAGTTGTTTGTGAGTAGGGGTTATATCCTCAGATTGTTCCAGGGTCCCCAGATTGTCCCAGCATGTCTGTCTACTTTGCTTCTTCAGCACTATACTGAAGGAATCTAGCAGAAGTCCCAGCAGGAAAACCCAGAGGACTTTCTTCTAGCTTGTGTGCCTTTTGTCTCAAACAAAGAAAACAATAGAGGGGCATTAATTTTTGTGTTTCCCAAACAAAGTTGAAATGTTGGTGTGATTGCATGATAACGATATAGGTCACACTTTGCTATTCAAATCCCTCTCCTCTCCCACCCCAAGAACCATAAGAACAGGGGCTTCCAGGATTGGGTGCCAGTGTGGACTCCATAATTGCTCATTCCTCCTCCATGAGCTCAGAGGGACTTTGGAGACACCATAAGGACATGTTCCCCAGAAAATAGCCTCCATATGGGGAATCCTGGCTTGTGTGTTTTACTAGATGTTCTCAGGCCAGTGCCAGGATTTGTTTGCTGTGTTTTCTCTCGGGGCCAGTCAGCATAGATTTTTCCGGATAATCCCAATTAAGAGGGTGTGCTAGAAGAGTGCACATGTACCAGCGCAGCGCAGGACACACAGCCATCCTTCCCTTTCCTTAGAATAAAAACTTCAGTGACCAGTTCCTAGTTATCCTGTCACGTCTGGTCTACTTCCATGCTCTGACCTCTTTGCTTTGGCTCCCTGTCTTCTCTTGGCTCCTATGCGGCCTTCTTAGATAGTTTCATTACCCTTCACAAGTGAAATGCAAAATGAATACTGTATTTGTCCCATACTCTTACTCCTTCAACATAAATGCTGAAGCTCTGTCCTATGCTTCAGAACCTTTTCAATTACTTTGTAAACTTGTCTAATGCACCTTCCCTTCTTCTCAGCTATGCCCAGGCTTGTGGAGTCATTTATTCTTATAAAGCAACTAATGTCACAGATGATGACCTGCTTTTGCTAGTGCAGAATAAAGTTTTCTTCCTGCACAGTATCAACAGGCACCATTTAAATGTTTTCATGTTGGTGAACTTTGGAGACAAGAATTTATTTTTTCACCCAAAACTATTTTGCTGCTGATTCTCATGGCATTGAAAGACCGCCCCCCCCCCCAGCTTCTTTCTCTACTATGAGTATCACAGTCCTCTGCTGAACCAACAGTTAATCCTGTTGCTTTCTCTGTGGACATTCCCAACTGCAAGGCTGTTCTCAGAAGTCTACCTTCCTTCTCTGTTAGACAATAAAGGTCATTCTAAATCTTGTGACTCAGAACCTCACAATGAGAAGATAAATATGCAGTTGGCCAGGGTTACTTGGTGATTTCTCCTTGTTTAAATACCAATGTATCTTCTTTCAGAAACCAGTAGTCCTGGACTTGGGGCTGAGGGTACAGCCCAATGCTGGAGTGCTTGTCCAGCATGTACAAGGCATTGGGTTCAACAAAACCAAAAAAACCAACAATCTTGTGATTGTTACACATCATGGCAAAGAATGCTGTACATTGCATTCCCTCTACACCATCAGGAATGTTCTTTACCCAGCACAGAACCCAAACCAAACTCTCAGGTTCTGGGTTTCAAGGCACATTTGACCTTTGAGGTTTAAGTTAATTTACTCCTGGCAAGAAAGAATGTATTGTTTAAGGAGACTCCAGTTAGTGGGGGTCATAATAAGGACCCATAACACTTCTTGGACCTCAGATATGCCTTACAAAACAAAATGTTTATGAGCTAAGTGTAAATGACTCAGAAACATACGAATCGAATTTCCCCTAAAATGTGAACGGATTTTAAAATTAGCAGGAAAAGGGTCTGGCAATGGATGTGCTTTGAATTTCACAAAACCCAGAGGATTTGAAATGCAGTTTAAGAAGCTTGACAAGCCCAAACTGTGACTAAGGTTTTCTTTGTTGGTGACTTTTCTTCCCTCTGTTTCTCAGAGAAGAACTCAGTGGTTGGAAAGGAGAGAGAATGGTTTTTGAAAGAGTGTATTGTCACACTTGTGTAGGGCCAGAGTGGGGACTTAGGAGGCTTTGGAGAGTTAGTCATGCTGCCTTTTGGAATTGTTTTCCCAGGTTTGCACCTCCGACTCCATCTCCTCAGCACATGAGCCCGGGAAGAATTCCAGCTCCTCCATCATTGCTGCAGAGAGCACAGCCTCCCCATACCCAACAGCCACCAGGCTCACTCCTGAAGTCCTACCATCCAGAAACAAACCCTGCTTTTCAGTCAAATGGTATCCACGTCCATGGTAAGCTGGGCTGGCAGCCCTTTGAGTTTTGAAAGGCAATGTTGCCTTTAATCAACTGTCCTAGTGACCGATTGTGGGTATCAGATGTTCTGTTTTATATCAGACTTGGACTTTTAGATCCCCCCATGCACACTTATTAACTCACTTATTAGACATGGAGTCCTATAGTGTTTTCCTCAGATAAACTGGCTTATGACACCCATAGTTGTCAGCCCGTGGCAATCATTTGTGTTTCCATTTTTGTGACACCTCAAGAGCAGGCTCTAGCAAGATCATTCTGCTCCTAAATGATCAGGAGACTGTGTGAAAGGAGCCCTGCTATCCTTGTCTGTCATCTCCTTCCCATAAGCCAGGTCAACACATGGTCCCCAGCTCTGTCGTCTCCCCTGGCTCTGAACTGTGTCTCACCTGTATTTCTTTGGTAGAACTTCCATTCTCTCCATCTTGTAGCTTATCTGAAAAACAAACAAACAAACATACCTTCTTCATTAATATATAAGCTTGCTTTTGAGGCCAGAATTATCTGACCCATCATCATATCTCTTAGGGAACTCAACACATTTCTTCATGTATAATAATGATTATACATATTCATGTACAAAGAAAAGAACATAGGAAATGAGAAATCACAGTGGTTTTCAGTTTATGCCGGTGTTGTGTTTAACAAGGACCACATTTGGAGGAATGAGTCTGCTTCAGTTTCTTTTCTTTATATAAACTCATCTTGTCAGTTCAAGCAGGTACACTAGTGGACTTCCACAGAAAACTGAAATGCTAAACCATACAGACTACATCAGCCAAATCCATTTACTTCCTGTCGTCAGAATTCTAGATGAGCAGAAATGATACTGTCCATTGAGACACCTTCTGATGATTCTACAGTGAGTCTTTCATCATCTTCCTCTCACCAATAACATTTATTTATAGGGTTATCACTTGGAATGAATGGATCATATCCCAAGCCAGTGTTTACTCTGTGTGCGAATAAGAACCCTAGATAGTAGACTCCAACAGTACTGTGGTGCCAAACCTGATAAGAGCCTCAAAGCAGAGCCTTGAGCAGCAAGGAGGAGACAAAAAAGTGACAGTGGCCGTCGGCAACAAGGGTGGACATGGGAAAGCCAGCGGCACTGGCTCTAAGTAAAGATCCACCTATCTCCCTGACTCGCCACTTGTCCACTGTGTCCCAGCAAAACTTAGACTTTTCAGTTCAGTAGTCATTTTTGCCCTCTCCTACTTACGAGCATGTTCTCATACTTGTATTACAGCAGGACATGGTTTTGTAAGTGCCTGCTGCGGGTGCTCGAGGTGAGTTGTATAAAAAAGAACAAAGGAGTTTTCTTCCTGGCCAGCAGCTTGTCTGATGAAGGGAGACCCAAGGCCATGGTCTGGAAAGCTACCAGCACCAATCTAGGAGTGAGATGGGCAGCATGGATGTGGGCTCTGTGGAAGTCAGAGCTGGTCACCTCTGTGAAACACTGTTTCAGTGTCCATACATTGGTGAAACACTGTTTTAGAGTCCATACATTAACGCTTCTGAAATTGAGCATGTCTCTCAGTCAGTGGCATCCTGTAGCCGATAGCCATTGATCTATCTTTCTGGTGGTGTATAGACTAATAGAGCAATTCACAGTCAGCATTGTCCTAGGTCCAGTGAAATGCAGTATAACCTGCTTTGATTACAGATGTGAAACCCACTTGTAAAAACTTTAAAAATTAACCTATGTGTCGAAAAACTAACTGGAAAGAAATTTAGCTAAAGTGCAGATAGTTTAGTTTTGTTGTTTTTGTTTTTGTTTTTGTTTTATCAGGCTAACGCTTAGTGTCACTCCCTCCCCTTTATTTTCTGTCTTCTAACAAAACTTTATGAGTGGGTATGAAGGGGTCCAGTTTGTGTGGGACTCCTGTCAACTCTAAACTCTGTGCGTGTGCAGGTTTTTGTGCCTGGGTTCTCAGTCCCTGATGGGGACAGTGTCATCTCCTTTCATCACATGTTACAGGAAGTTGGTAAGAAGAACACCAGGCGCAGGTGTGGGGCTCACTTCATTTCAGCCTCTTCCTTCTCCTTCCCTTTCTGTATGAGGCTCTGGGAACAAGGGTCATGTGTGTAGCCCCAGGACAAGCATATTACTTGGTGCAGAGTAGGCATTTAATAAGTATTTACTGGGTAAGTAATTGGCGCTTTCTCATTCAACAAATGAATAATAAACCAAGAGGACCGGAGAGCATCCTCCATGCCACATTGGCAAAATACTTTCCCTCTGCATTTCTCATTTGAAAAATAAATAATGCATATATTTCCAGCTTGAAAATGTTGAGCTTTTTTTTTTTAACTTCCACTTTCTTAATTTTTAAAAACTTCTGTAGCCAATGAGAAACAGCTAACAGCAGCCAGAAATTAGTTTCAGAATAGAGCTAGGGGAAATGAGAATTTGTGACATGCTCCAGAGAGATGGCCAAGTGGCTATGGTGATGAGATTGCAAAGAAAGTATCTATGCTGTAGCCACCTGGTGAAGGGGTAGGGACCCGATGCAGTCTTATTGTTCCTCTTAGCAGGTTCCTGAAACTTTCTAGGTGCAAGCCAGGCCTTAGATAAGGACAGAATGTGTATGCTGCTTTTCAAGGAGTGAGTGAACCTTCTTACCCAGATATGCTTGTTAGCTGCAGCTGTCCCCTTTTGTTGCTCAGATTTACTGGATAAAGTTACACAGTAGCCTTGTGACAGGGAACTTCATCCCCTACTAAAACACCATTTTTTAAGCCACAGACTGTCAGAATTTTTAACTCAATGGTCACAGTGAATCTTTGTACCTTCTTTGAAGATGTTCATGGTTTTAAAGAGCATCACAGCCCATCCCCTCTGTCTAACCTGTAGCAGAGGTCAGGGAGAAATGCCACCACTCCATCTGCAAAAATGGGAGCTGAGACATAGAAAGATATAAAATGTCTGGGCATTGCTACCCTGGCACACTATGTGGGCTTTGCAAGACGTCTAAATTTCCAAACTGAATCCATAATCAAGGTGATTTCAAGTCAAAGGCACACCAAAAGAAATACGAATTTACAACTATTTTTGGAAAATGGGATGCCTCTTCTTACATGTGTTGTCTTATGTGGAACTTAGAAGGTCAGAGTTCAAAGGGTCTTCGTGATGAAGAAGAAAAAGAAGATCCTCCAAACTTTGTTAATCATCCGCTAATTGGTACTGAGCTGGAACATTGTGTGCTGAACTTGTATTTTGGATACACTTTGTCAGCATTAACAGCAACTCTCTCTCACATGTCCTCACCTTGGTTTTATTGACACCCACACCACCCGTTCAGTCTGCCTTTATTAGTAAAGAGAATGAGATGTCCTTCCTACTTAATGTTGATAGAATTTTCAGCCTCTGTTTGGGCGATATCTCTAAGGCAACTTCTTAGTACACTTGATCTTTTCTTTTAGATGTCAACATAAGGACACTCTTTCCAACCATGTAAGCTTGTTCTTTGGTCTTTTCTTTCTTGTCAGGGTAATTCTCTTGCCCAGGCAAGCTTCAGAACTTTGCCTGGATTAGTTGCCAGAGAGTTGATATTTGTACATTTTGTTATGGTACTTACTAAAGGATAATTTCTTTTTAAACGCCCTATTCACTGCTGATTGTTCAAATGCCATGGGAATTCCTAGACGAGCATTTTCACAGTCTTCCTGCTTCTGGACACATCAAAGAGAGGCCAAGTTCAGTTCAACGGGTGTTTGTTGGTCACCCTCTAAGTACCAGGCAACGAGAATGCCATTTAATGGCTGCCATACTGCAGTAGTTAAAAGGGGCAAAAGGAACCTGATGTGTTACAAGGAAGATGGCAGTCAAAGGTTTTGAAGAAGTGGAGTATGCAAACAAGAGAGACACTGGAGATAGTGTCCTGCTGTGAGCACAGGTTAGGCCCCAAGTGGAGGAGAGGACACAGGAGAACAAGGTGGCCTTAGCAAGAAACAATGCATCACATTCAGTGCAGTCACTCTGATGTTTTTCAAACATCATATAGAGATCTGTGCAGAGAGTGGCCCAGGATAGGCAGAAAAGCCAAGCTCTTGCTATCAGAATTAGATTGCGCTGTCTGGAAAACTCAGTAACTGGAAGGGAGTTTGCTTCTCTCAGATGCAACTGGAAAATTGGAGGGATGATAGAATTAATGTGGGATTGTGTGTGTTCACAATCTTTCTGAAGAAAGGAAGGGAGGGTAGAATAGCCAAGAAGTGGAGACACACTCCATTTAGGTGCCACATAGACAAAGACCTTTCAGCTTTGTCTTTGAATAAAATTAGAAGTGAACACAACCCTAGGGGCTGCCTGCTCAAGAGAGGTACACACCTCACCTTGCATGGAGCTCAGTTTCTATCCCTCCCTTTCACACAGTTGGCATGGAGAACCTACAGGCCACATGCCCTACTCCTTTGTGTCTCTCCCCACCCACCCCCGTGGTGTGTGTCTGTGTGTTTGTGTGTGTCTGTGTTTATGTGCTTTCTGTATATATGGATGTTCCTGTGGGTACTTGTGTATGTATGTCTGTGTGTCTGCGCTGTCTGTATCTGTGGATGCTCCCTTGGGTGTGTACACATGTGCCTGTGTTTATGATGTGCTATATGTATCTGTGGGTGTTCCTATGGGTGTGTACACGTGTGCTCGTGGCTGCGTGTGCACATAGAATCAGAGGACAATGCCAGGTTTTTTCATTGATCATGCTCCACATTACGTTTGAGACAGGGAGTCTCACGAAAACGCAGAGCTCACTAACTGGCTAGACTAACTAGCTAACAACGTCCATGAATCTGATTGCTTCCATCCCCCCACAGTAGGGAGGTTGCAGATGCGCATATCAATACCCACAGCTTTTTATGTGGATATTAGGGATCTAAATTTGGGTCCTCATCTTGTGTGACAAATATTTTACTAATTGGACTATCTACTCTGTCCCCATTTTGTGGATTTTTTTTTTTTTTTTTTGAGACAAGGTTTCTC